GGTTAGCCGCTAAATAAGCAGAGAACCTGAGGAATAAGCAGTCATAAACAACCCGGCGACAGTCAAAGTCTGTACTTTGGGAACGTGGTCCAGTCACTGATAGTTCCGGGAAAGAAAGGAAGGGAAAGACCGAAGAAAATGTGGCACAATTTCATGAAGAATGATATGAAACTGCGAGGAGTCCCTGAAGTCATAAAGAACGACAGGAAAATGTGGAGTAATGAATCCAACAGCGCACCAATGTTAAAAGAAACACACTGGGACGAAGAAGATGGAGAAAGAGAAGAAAATATCGCACTTAGCAGGCGTAAGAAAATTACCCTATTGTTTCTAGTTGCCAAGGGAGACCGTTAGGCAAGACACGACTCCATAGTATTTGAGTATGTGCGGTGCATTGTATACACGATAACGCATCTCTGAGTTTGATTGAATAAGGGCACGTTCGAAGACCAACTAAACATATTACTACTAGATACATACAGGGACAAAACTAACCATGATGTTTCAGGATACCTTCACATAATAACTTTCCGATTCCACCGATAATCTGAATGTTTCGAACAAATGTGTCGTTTATACAGTTTATCCGGTTTTTCGAAACTACATAGAAAATGAAGCTATTGCCCAGAACAACAAACAACCATGAGGACTCTAAAGATGACTGTGCTGAAGAAAACACTGAAATACATGGAAATACCGTTAGAAACCTCCAGGTAGGCGTTTTGCTCAGACTGTGTTTAAAAATACTTTCATAACTTTAACCTGAATGGTTGCTACGAACCGCTTCAAAGATGTTACAGAAATCGATGACCATCACCAACGTAAGAAACGATTTGTAAGTTCTCTATTTGCTGATTCGTTCATGTAGCACAAAGCCCATTAGTAAAAACATATGAACAGGCGTATTATGATATATAAACAATTGACATCTGTGACATATAAAGAACAGACGCATTGTGATCCAATATTGTAACATTAATTCCATAGGTCAAGCGAAAAAAACTTTAGTCGGGCCACTTAGCCAAGCCAGTCAATACCGTATTCACTTGCACATCGTTTCTTGCCTATGTCAATGTTTGAAGAACTTTGATAAATCCGAAGTGTCATCCTGACGTCAGTTTCATCACTCATTAACACCCCAATTTGGCTTTTCCCAAGGTAACTCGACCTCTGCGGAGGGATACCCACGCCTCCTCCATTGTTCCTCAGAGTTTGCTTTTTCGTAACATCACCGTCGAACGGCAACTTCTACCGACTGACACACAGAAATTGCAAATACCGCTACGAACAAAGTGCACGTGTGAGCCGCAGGTGAAGAAATAAGTTTCGTCGCACGATCGTTGCGAAACCGCGGCTTAACGATGGCAAGGAATGAGACGACCATGAATTGCTCATTGTCCCACACTGGAAAAGAAACTCGTCTGTGTTTATCCGCACCGGAGCCGGTGAAGGAGGCGTCACAAGGTTGTCGCCTGTCCATAGAAAACGCGAACAACAGGCTCACAGTATCCGGATGTAGGTTGATGTAAAAGAGTCGATGCCAAAGAATGGACGAGAAAGAGATACGAGAAATGTCAGCATGACAGCAAATCCAAAGCGATGGATTTAACTTTCGTGTTGTCAGAAACAAGAGGCTATAGCTAACAAAAAAGAATTGGTCACAGCAAATAGCCAGCGAAACCAGAGGTGCGGCATTCACCCTGTTGGAAACACTCATCGGACTGTCAGTCCAAAAAAGTTTCAATCAAACAGACGTCATAGTTTTTCCAAAGCTTCTCAAAGCCTATCTAAAAATGGTACTCAGGCGGATGAACTGGTAAGAATGAATCAAAGTTAACGGGGAGCGGTTCAGTCATCTAAGATTTACTGATAACGCTGGTTGTTTGCAGAGAGTAATGCTGTAAGAAGTCGAAAAAAGTTGCAAAGTCGGATCAAAATCGGTAGATCTAAGGCAATCTGCTATGATACCGAAGGCTTAAATAATAATTAATGAAGAGGTCATAGAAGAAGGAGGCGGATGGATCAGAAAGTTGACGTGACCGAGTTGCAATGTAATCAGAAGACCGAAATCCGGCTGGCAGATTAACTCCACCAAGAATATCATACTTGCAAAGACGATAGATCAATGCGGGTCTACTTCCTCAAGATAATGGCACTGACTGAAATGCAGTATTGCTACGAAACATGGCCACTGACGAAAAAGGAGGAACACCATCTATCCTCTGGAAAGCAAAGAGGGTAAAATGCGATGGGCTGGGTACGTAGCTCAGTTTATCGAACAACGATGGGCAGTTGCTACCGCAAAAGCCCGGTCGCCCCCCCCCCACTCCAACAGGATAGAAGCGCTTTAATTTCTGGCTCAGAACAACCAGTGTGGTAAAGGAAGGCACGAACATGAATAATGGAGCAAGTGCGGTGACTGGCGCAATCTGTGACTGCTGAATACTGGACGATTAGTGAAATTACTCTTTTACTTATTAAATTTCACGAACAAACCATTCGCCTTGTGTGAAAATGAAATTACTCTATCGATTAAGAATACGTTTGAGGAAGTGTCATTTTCTTAAACTGAGTCAAAACAAACGATTGGTCGTCAGCGTCTTCAAGCGCACAGAGTCACTGACGAACGCTGCATTAAATCCGTCAACGTCGTGGTGTCCAATCGCAACTCGACGGCAGCAGTGCCTACTTTACCAGCAATTGCTCATGTCGTAAGGAGAGCATCGTTCAATCGTCATTGTCCCAAACATCTGTAAAACAACGGTTTTTCTGAAACCTTTCTGTCGGTTACAACAGCAAATAGCCTATGTTAACTGGTGGAGAATGCAGAAGAAACCTTTAGTTAACTCGCTGGCTAAAAGACTGACGACAATCTGCAAAAAACGACTTAAAGACAAGCGAATGCCCAGCTTTCCCTTAAGCATCTACAGCTTTCACCTTAAAATTACCCTACCAGTTCAGTTCGAGCGACAGAATCCAACGATTTCCATACAATAAAACACTCTCCACAAGGTTATTTGAACCGCACAGGATGGCGATTGAAAGCATTTACAGTACAACAACGAAGATACAAACAGATTTAGTTTAAAAGTAGTAAAAAGATATAAAAACTATACGTATAGCCTCACTGAAGAAATGACGTCTGAAAAATATTATAGAACAAAATAAACCAGAGGTTTAAACAAACTTCGTTACATTCCCGAGGATCACGGATCATTTAGTGAGACGCTATGAAAAATAATAATTTGTCATTATTAAGTACTATTAAAAAATTCAAAAGAGAAACATTTTCGGAACCAAGTTAAAGAATACTACAGTAGGGTGTGATAACTTGCTCTGTCTTTATATAAAACATTTTAATTTAAAAATACTATTTATTTTCATCTGGTCTTTACTGCTGACACCGATTTTGCGGCCTGTCGGTGAACCACCCCGCACGAGAACAAGAAGCGATTACGTACATTATACCAAGTTTGTCGGATAACAACAAGTCGTTAAGACGAGCGTTCGTCATTTAAGACTGCCATTAGCTGATCAAGAAATTTCGACCTATCCGTTAGCCGAATTTGCCATCATCCAATTTGGATAATCAATAAAATCGCTTTTATCGGTATGGCTTTAATTATCAAGGCAGCATGAATCCTCGTTAGGCCTCATAAGTTGAACAAAACTCAATTCACTTTACGCAAGGGTCTACAAGCGCTTCTACTCTGCTCGTACAAAACGGCTACCGGAAGAAATGCTGCTGACAAACAGAGCAAACGACATCGTCGGTCGTGTTTTAATCAGTCGACAACAGCGATGGGATAGGAAACGAATGACTGGAAGCTAAAGCCCGATGTAACTGGTAACGGAAGGCTGATTCACCCGCACAAGTGGTACATGTGACCGAATCACGCAAAGGACCCTTCGTTTCTCTTTCTGGCACAGCTGACCTTTGTAGATGTATAGATAATGAAAAAATGTTAGTCCTGACAGACACACTGGTCGAGCATGATCTATTTACTCCAAGCCATGGAGAGCCGGCTAGAGGCCAGCACGAAACGTGGAGGAACAAGAGAGAGACAGATCTGCGTCCGAACAAAAACATTTCTTTCTGTGACCGGCGCCTTCCAACAAAAGTGCTGAAAAGCGGACACCACGAGAAGTTGTGGTTATGCAAAAGCCCAAGGTGATCCTGTTCTTAGCACTACGTATGGCAACAGCATCCGCATGTCAATGGATCTATTTCTGTAAATGTGCGCCCAGCTGTGGGCCACCTGGCGCATCCCTAAGTTACGAATCCCGAGATGGAGCACAGCTATGACGAAGGGTACCGCCAGGGAACCGTAAGCAAAGAGCCATGGGTACTATCAAGGTATGGCTGTGGGGCAAACCTTCATCGATAAAATAGCCACATAACTTTATGACGGTCCTGCGACAAGGCGAAAATGATCCGCCAGTAATAGCTTCAGCAATGCCACCGCTAACTTGCAGTTATATCTGAGAATGTCAAACGCCAGGTGGGAACCAGTCCAACCTTATGAAACTTCATGAAAATTAGTTCAACAATCAGTCTATCTTCGATAGACAGGCGAAGGAGTCGATCCTCAGCTGAAGGTGACGATTTTAACGAACCCAAAGGTCAGAGATGAGAACTGGTGAAAATTAATAATTGCCAGACTGCACACCGTAATCACTAATAAGAGCCACGTGGTCGGTGGAAGCGTCAGTACTGCTGCGTATATGAGTCGTGCAATTCACTAACGCATCTATTGGGTAAAGCTTAGGAACTTTTTTCATAAGATACTTCATTTTCGCAGAAATTGATCCTGTTTTGCAAGACGTTTGAACACTTGAATAATTGTGTTTCTGGATAACTAGAAGCAGCTGATCAATTAAGCCCATAGTTGGTATTGCCTAATCATTCGTTTGACACTGTCGTATCCTTATCAGACTGTTGTGCCAGACTCGACAAATGTGGCAATAGTAAGTCACATTGAGGGGATATACATTTCCTTGGAAGCTTGCGATGAACCCTCCTTGATTTATTCCTATTGTACGCCGCAGAGGAATGCTCGCGAGTTGAATCTTGGTTAGAATCGAAACACAGAAACAAATGAGGCACCCTCATCTGAGAGGGACTTTCTTCGCTCGATCGATAAATCACTATTGCAATAGTTTTGAATCGTGATCAGCATGCCAGAGAAGGGTCTCGGAAGATTGATACTCTACGCTGAATTATATAAGGCACTAAAGGGCAGACGGAGGGCTAGATAGCTAGAACTGAGTACCTGGCATAGTTGTGTTCGCAATCCGCTCCGTGGGTCTTATATGATTAAAAACAACCGAGATCATGGAAAAACCTCCGAATGATGGTGCGCTTGCAACATGAATCGAATAACAAGCTTTGGAAATGAACGAAAACATACCTGCTGTTGTGCACTGAAAATGATCTTGACAAGGGATCACACATAATTGAATAACGACATTAACTAATGATATCATTTGATAAACGAGCACATTGTGTTCGAGATGAAGAATGATGTAAGACAGGGTGATGTAGGTCCAGCTCCCCGACCATCTGGTAACTTAACTTAAGCATAGCCGACAAACAACCGGTGGTCAGCACATCACGTTGCAAGGAAACTGAACGCAGATCTGTTCTCAGAGAGGAATATTTTCCTCTACTGAGCGAACGGTTCTTAATATCAAAATGAGAAGTTTCGAGGTAAGCGGGCATCAGAAATCTTCAGCTACCTGCAGCTACGAATTAGTTTCCCGGCGAAAGACGACAGTAACAAATCAGTGTCAACAGCAGTGCGTAGGTGCGGAAATTGGCATCGATTCATTGTCTGTCTGAATAACAGTTAATTGCCTTTGTTATCCTATCCATAATTCAGGACAACAGGTAAAACGAAAAATGTAAATCCTTTTATTTACCGACTCACAACGGAGTCACCATATAGGTAATAGTGTTGCGCTGTTTAGCAAAAGTACTGTGCATAATTAAACATCGTCTGCTGTTTATGTTAGTATAGTATCGCCATTTACATTTGCCATCCAGCGCACGTTCTGTTATTTCTGCCATTTTACAATCACGAACAAGAACTTCCACATCAGGTCTAATCATGCAGCGCATGATTCATAATTCAACCCAAATACCGAAAAAAGTTACCTTTTGAAATAAGCTTGGTGGCGGTTCTTCGCCATTTTTTCACTGGATGTGGCGTCGAATTGAACCACTCCACCTTAGTAGTAACAAAGGTACGTAAACGAACGCTTAGTTGCCGAAGTATTCTTACGCCAGATAAGACTTAATGTTATGAATAAAGATGTATACTTCACCTTTTCGTCGTGGCGAAACTTGTGTATACTTTCGACAAATAGTAAAAACAAC